GAGGCATTAGCTTCTGGAGTTAGTTTTCACATGCTGAATGCCATACCCATCTTAACAGCTGCTCACTTTCCATGTTTTCCCACAAAAAAAAAAAAAAAAGTTTCCAACCTGATAAACACATACAAGTCCATAAAGTCAGTTTCAGTAAAGAGATTTAAGGCTCACCACAACATCTGGTTTCCAGTCAGAACTTTCTGGATCTGGTCTAATGGGAGCCCCTTCTCTTAGCAAGTCAGAACCAGTTAGTTTCATGTCTGTAAAAAGAATGCAAAGGTTGCATCCCTATTTTAGTACAATGTATGCATATTAGTGTACAGACTGGCTACCAGCCTATTGTCTACCATCATATCCTAGATCTGGTGCATGTACAGTCATTCCTGTTATCTCAAGATATGTAGGGCAGCTGTATTGGAGTGGTTACTTTGTCAATTTCAGTACATGGGTGTCCTATAGTGTTTTTTCACCTTGTATGTGGACTTCATTACCCATTTAGAACAGCATAGCGACATTCTGCTGGATTTTAAGCCTCTGGGTTAGCCTAGAGCCCTTCCAAATTGCCACCTCCAAAAAAAAACCCAACAAACCACCACACAGCTGCCATCGACACCTTGGATAAACTAGTAGCCATATGGTTTAACTGTCAGATACATTTTTATTTGCCAACCATTCTCCAGGCTCAACATCACCCTTGGGTCCTTCCTCCCCATAAACCTGCACCTTTTTTGGTTCAGTTGGGGTCTAGGCAGTTAGTAGATTGTTATATCCCTATATCCAGGGGATTCTGTTTTATTTCTATATCCAGACTAATTGTCTGACCTCATAAGACTGCTTCCCCCATAGCCTTGAAGAATCCTTGTGGCCGAGAGTCCAAACTGGAGAGCTCTGAACTGAATTTCTACTCAGAATTTCATAGCTAGGTGCAGAACAGTCTGAATTCCTATGGAATATGGAAATCAGCATTTCATTTCTAGAGTTGCCATGAAATTTTGTAGGATAGGTCTCAAGGAAAAAAAAAAAAAAAAAAAAAAGTTAAATAAAAGGGAGCCTTCTTACCACTTGAATACAAAGTTCATTGGACTTTGTGGGCTGGTCAGTGGTGTCTATTTGGAGGATGGATGAGTGTATATTTAAATGTATTTTCCTGCACCAACTAGTCCAGTTTTTCCAGAGAGATGCATTTAATCAGCTCAGCAACAATCCATAAGACAGAGGTAAAGACAAGGTAACCGGAATACTCATGCAATCAGAAAACCTCAGAACCCACTCTCCTGCCACCACTCAAAAAAAAAAAAAAAAAAAAAAAACCCACACTTCACTAATATACATTTTTTCCCATTGACCAAAGTGTCAAGCAATCCTAGTGGTTGGTTTTATGAGTACATTTGGTCTTAAGTGTTACAATGTGTCTAGACCTAGAACAGCTGTATGCATAGATTTTAATTAAAAAGTTGGATACTCCTTGTCTTGTTTATAGCAAAACTGCAATCTAACCTTGTAACAAAGGTGGACATGAAATTCATTTCACCATAAATATTTAAGACCTTTCCAAATTTAAAGAGACACTTGAATTTTACAACGCCAGTGCACACACACACACACTTGCAAAACCTGACACTTGCTTCTACACTAGAAAAGCAGCACAGTGTCCACGGGAGTGGCTGAGAGAGTTTTGGTTTTTTTCACCATTGTGCAAAAAAAAAAAAAAAAAAAAAAAAAAAAAAAAAAAAACCACCCACACAAACTTAGCCTTCTGAACTCTGCTAATCCAGTCATTTCACATACTTACTCCCCAGATGCTGGCCGATTATTTCTGATGTCTCTTTGGCCCTTTGCAATGTAGAATATGTCATCTCATTGTAAGTGTAGCCCAAGTTAGCAAGACGTTGACCAGTTAAATTAGCCTGCTCACGACCTACAGCATGAAGAAAATGCAGTGAGACAAACCAGAAATTGATGAGGGACCTGACGTATGCAATCCTGTAGCCAACTTAAAGTAACAGTTTAGCAAAGTCAATACCATATCTTCATACAAGATACTTATATGAGGAATGCTTTCAGAATAGATTTGGGATCTAGCTTTGTCAGATATCACTGGAAGGCCCATGACCCTTACCTAGCACTGTGGGTAGAAGCTGGAGTGCATAGAACAAACATTTCCCCCCCCCCCCCCCCAATTTCACTGGTTTTTGTAATGGCAATTCAGAGTTTTGTTTTAAATGGTCGTCTTTGAAACCAAGCACTCAGTTGCTGTCTTCTGAACTGCGCAAGAGCCATAAAAACCCAACCACTTGCCTACCAAGCGCTTATACCCCCTTCCTACCCAGGCCAATTTTCAGCTTTTAGCACTATCGCACTTTGAGTGATAATTGCGTGCTCATGCAACACTGAAAAAAATTATAAAAATTTCATACGAGTGCAGTCTGGTATGTACTTGCCGGTGGGCGTTTTATTTTTGCACTAACAAAAAAGCAAAAATATTGAAAAAATTTGTTTCCATTATAAAATTTAGCAAACAGGTAATTTTTCTCCTTACCTGATGTGTTGAGGCTGCACTGATGAGCTGGCACTGATACGCAACAATGATGGGCACCGACTGATGGCACTGCGTCATTGGACACGGCTGATCATGTGGTAAAAAGCCACTGTGATTGCCCTTTTACCACATCATGTAATCAGCTGTGCTTAGGACACAGCAATCATGGAGATTGCTGGGTAAGCACCCCCGGGGGCACATGGGAGGGTGTCATGACTCTCTCCCAGAACTGGCTGGCCGTGGTGAAAAGGTTATTCGGCCATCTGTGGTTGGCAAGTGGTTAACGGCAGTCATCTAAATGCCATGTAATCTAGCCGTTCACAAAATGGCTCCTGTCAAGCTGTACATCTGCAAGTGTTAGTACAGACAAATCTAGGGTGTGCCCTGCTAATGTAGGACAGACAATTGTGCTAGTGACTGCATTTTTTGAATGCGCAAAAGACTAACAGGGGGCAGATTTTCCCTGCTGCAAGGGTTTGTCAACCTGAAAATTTAAATTGGTTTCAGCTACAAAGATTTAACAGAATTCATGGTCAATACATATAAAGGAAACTTGAAAAATGATTTATAAGAGCCCATCTGCATGGATCTCCCCTTGTACCGAGTCTAGATCAATTTCCAAGAACCAGAGCAGGGGAGCAACAAGGACAGAGTGATCCAAGCCAGTTCCACAGCAGCAGCTTCCGCTGTCAAAACAGTCTTGAAATTAAACCTACCAAGTGATGTTAGGACTCTTTCAGGGTCGCTTTCACCAGCCACATTGTACTGTCCATGGCGAACAAAGAAAATGTGACGTCTGGCCCTTGCTTTATACTTATTTAGTTCGTATTTCAAATCTTCATTTCTTTCCAGGTCGTTAAGATTGATCAGAGATCTTGGTTCACGTCTACAAGGTGTGTTGGGGGGGGGGGAAAGAAAGGCGTATGTTAGTGGGTCAGTTCAGTTTCTGCAGAATGTAATACTTTGGCAAAGGTTTCAAAGGCAGGGCAGATACTACAAATCTCAGTCTACATTGAAATCTCAGTAGAGAACTCCCAAATTTTAACTTTCTTCTAGGAGCTCACTTCTGGGTGTAGCCAGTCACATTTTCCTACTGAAGACAAAGGGGGGGGGGGGGGGGATACTTTAAAGTGACCAAAAAAAAAAAATCCCAATTCATACATATCCACTAAATAGCCCTGTACAGTTTTACACTTACCTGCCTTCTTGTCATTTGAGCTCCCAAACTCTCCTTCCCTCTGTTTGGAGGTGCAACCTAAGATTGCAGAAAAAACACAAAAACCCAAACCAAAACACACCCTAAAAGTTTTTTAAACTGCATATCATCTGACAGCAGGTGAGGGTACACTAAGGAAAGATCTCAAGCTGGCTATTTTGGTGGGTCCCTTAAAAAAAAAAAAAAAAAAAAAAAAATTGAAGTACAACCAAAGCCAATTTGGCTGTACTTCTGCAGATCACAGGCATGCAGTTCATTCTGAACTCCTGTAACCCATTTTCAGCCAACAGCAGGCTAAAGCTGCAGTTAATGTACATCAAAGCACCATTGCAGGCTGTGGAAAGATTGTGAACATATGGTCAGGTCTCTGCTCAGAGCTGCAGTGAGAACTGAGCAATCAGCAGTGCCTGACCACACATGTCTCAGCCTTAGAGCCAGCAGGGGACAAATGCAGGATCAGATAGATTTTGCAACCACTAAGTAGTAAAAAAAAAAAAACAACAACAACAACAACACACAACACACACACACACCTTTGTAAAGATAATAGGGTATGTAGATAGTCACAATTTCTCCATTAAGACAAACACCTGTTTACCACACTATACAATTTCCTTTAAATTTTCCAATACTATGGAACAGGAGGACACCTAAGCAACCCATTCAGTTTGTACCCATTAAGGCAGGCCCTTGCACTACATAGTTGCTAGTTACTCTAAAAAGTGTAGTTAGACATGCTTTCCTTACCATAGAATTAATTTTCTTTAGAGCTACACTATGTAGCGCAAGGGCTTGCCCAATTTAATACATATTGTATGGGTTGTTAAACTACATCCACCTATTGCATAGTATAGGAAACACTAAAGGGGAGATTATACAGTCACATTGTATAGTATATGGTCACCCTAAAATCCAAAAAAATAGATAAAGTAGAAGTATGAGAAGGAAAGCATATACCATCTTACATAGATGTATGCATTCTTTTCTGTAATGACTATGGTTACCATATAGTCCCATTTTACACATAGCACAAAAGTGAATTGAGTTTACTTGATAACCCCTTAAAAAAAAAAAAAAAAAAAAAAAAAAAAAAAGTTCTGAAAATTTACTTTGCTCACTATGCCTACAGTCACAGTCAGAAGAGAAATGAGAGAAGTTAAGTTTCTCCAGTCATGGAGTTGCTCATCCCACATTATGAGATTCAAACTTTAACCTGCTGATAAAATCACATCTACTACATGAAGAACTCACCGGTCCCAGTTGGGGTCCCAGCTCCTAGTGAAGGTTGGTGGCCATAGCACAGCAGCTATATTGGCATCTTCCCCACTATGCTTCAGAACTGCTGCAGCAAACAGTGCTGCTCCACCAGCCAGGAAAGCCCTACGCAGGAACATGGTAACTGCTCAACAAACCCACCAACACTTGCATATACAACCACTATGATGGGAGGTCTGTCTGCAGACCTTATATAGGAGGCAATGAGGGCAGAGTCCATCTGCAGGCCTTATATAGTAAAGCATTGGGGGAGGAGTCTGTTTGCAGGCATTATATGGTGACAGAGTGCAGGCTTTGGGGGAAAGGCAATGATCAATACCGAAAGGGTGCAATCATAGAAAGATTTGAGGAGATCACTGCTGGCTTTCTACTGGAAAAGCTAGTTCTGCTATCTCTTACCTTCAAGGCATATTCCACATTTTGTAAAAATGTAATACTTGTATCAACATTAATAAAAAATAATTTATGTGTAATAAATATATTATGTGTACATTTATTACATTTTTGCATTATAGCCTGTAGAGCATTGCAACTTCAATCAGTGCAATAGACAGGCTACTGCATTGCTTACCTCCAGGTCTGTATGGAGATATGGACCTTCAGTTATGAGGTTCAAAGAAGTAAAGAATGGACTGCAAGTGCGGCGATGTCATTACTTCTGTGCTCAATTGAGATCTGCGAGTCCCTCTACCACAGTGGTAGAAGAAACTTGTAATCTCCTTGTTTAGGCTACTTTCATACTGATTGCATATGTGTATTTGCAGCGGTTTTACTGCGTTTGTGGTGCGATGTTTACAGGACACGTGACTCAAAAATCACACCACAAATGCAACATGGGTGCATTTCTGATGCGTTTTTGCTGTATTTTCCATTGACTTCAATGGGGAGGTGAGTTTTTGATGCGTTTTTTTTTACCGCACCAAAATGCAGCAAGCAGGATTTAAAAAAATGCACCAGACCAGTGTGAAGAGTTCCATAGGAATACATAATTATGCGTTATTCTCCCACTTTTTTTAATGCGAAAGTGGAAGAAGAAAAACGGATCAGTGTATAAGCAGCCTTCTAGATCTCTGTATATGGCTCACACGGCTGTATAGGCAGAGCCACACACAGCCGTGATCATTTAACCACTTCCAGTCCGGGTCAATGCTGACATTTCTCTCCTACGTGTAAAAAAATATTTATTTATTTTTTTGCTAGAAAACAACTTTGAACTCCCAAACATTATATATATATATATATATATATATATATATATATATATGTATATATATATACATATACATAGCATTGACCCGGACTGGGATGCTTGTTCATGGTGGTACTGGTTTGTTTATATGAGCCCAAAAGCTACGAAATCCTCATCGCTCCCGCAGGACATTGCAGAGAGAAGAACCCCAATGAATCTATTATACTGAGTGCACTTAAAGGGTCAGGTAATGTGACAATGTTTCATGTTATACCCTTATTATGGGTGCAATAAGGAACATGGTTTTAAAGCTGACCTTCCATGATGATAGACGGTACACTTTACTCACAGCCTGTCAATCCTTAAAGTGATTGTAAACCCTTACATATACCAAGTGACTGGCCTCAGGAGATATACAGAGATAAAACAAATCAACCTACATAAGTTGTACCTGTCTATCTACAGTGTTCTTTACATTCCTTGCTGAATTTATGAGGTTTGTCTGGGAGTTCTGAAAAAAGGAGGTGGAGAACTGAAATTACACTCTGCATAGCTCAGTGAGGAGAGCTTTGAGAGCTGATTGGAGGGAAGGTACACACCCCCCTTCACATGGCACACAGGAACAGAGCTGAGGCTGTCAATTTGCTGGAGGTCCCTCCCCTATCACCATTTTTTTCTTGGTGTCAGGAAAACTTGTCATAAGTGATTGATGCTGATAGCAGAGGAAGGAGGAAACAGACAGAAATGACACTTAGTACACACTATAGAGGGATATGCTTTGTTCGCATTTCATGTCTGAGGTTTACAACCACTTTAAGCTTACAATGCTTCCAGAAGGAGCGATGATGTCACCATGGTTCACCACTGTCTTCATGGGAAAACAGGGAGGTCCAAAGCCCACAAGAATACACTCCTACAATGTTCCTCTTTCCCAGGAGGAATGATATCACCTGAACCTTCCTGAAAACATCAGAAGCTGCTCCAAGATATTTTATTCTCCAAAAAAAATGTAAGCAAAATGTTTTGGGGAGCGTCAGTAAAGTGGACCTTCCACTTTCATGGCACGTTCCCTTCAACAGTTTTGGATTTACAGCCCTGGGACAAGCATGTGGCAGGTAAAGTGAGAATTAAATCCAAACTTCCAATTTGCATACTTAGTGGTGATTAGTGACTGAGTGAATCTATTGATGCCAAGGGGATCAGCATGTAAGCCAGACATCTAACATATTCAGGAAAGTTCAGCAATGGTGGGCATACAAAATATTTCTCTTCGGCTGGCCATACACTATACAATTTGCTTACATTTTTTTTACAATTTTCTGGCCAATTTCCTTTAGATTTATCTTTCACTATGTAGTGCAAGGGCCTGCCTAATTGGATACATTTGAAAGTGTTGTTTTGTTTTGACCTCATATTATATGGTTTTTGGTAAATCTAAAGCAAAATTCTCAAGAAAATTGTATAATGTATGGCCAGCCTTAGTATGGGTTTCTTTAAATCTGTATTAGTCCACCCTGTATGCTTAGGCTGCCTTCACACAGTGGATTCCTGCAGTAAGAATCTGTGGAGAATATGTTCCTGAGGCTGGAATCACCTTTCTATGTGAACAGTTGCATCCAGGAGTGATCATACAGTTGCAAGAAAAAGTATGTGAACCCCTTGGGATTACGTGGCGTTTTGCATAAATTGGGCATAAAATGTGCTCTGAAACGTTATCTAAGTCACAACAATAGAAGAACACAGTCTGCTGAACATAATACTACACAAACATTAGATGTTGCCATGGTTTAATTGCACATAACATGTAAACATTCACAGTGCAGGGAGGAAAAAGTATGTGAGGCCCTAGCTTAATGACTTCTCCCAGAGCTAATTGGAGGCAGGAGTGAGCCAACCTTGACTCCAATCAGTGTGATGATATTGGATGTGTTGCTGACAGCTGTCCTGCCCTTAAAAAACACACACCTGTTTTGGGTTTACTGGTTTCAAGAAGCACTGTCTGATGTGAACTATGCCTTGCAGAAAAGAGCTCTTAGAAGACCTACGATCAAGAATTGTTGACTTGCATGAAGCTGGAAAGGGTTACAAAAGTATCTCCAAAAGCCTTGATGTTCATGTGTCCATGGTAAGACAGGCTGTCTACAAATGGAGAAAGTTTAGCACTGTTGCTACTCTCCCTCTCCTGTAAAAATGACTGCAAGAGCACAGCACAGAATGCTGCATGAGGTAAAGAAGAATCCCAGAGTGTCAGCTAAAGACCTACAGAAATCTCTGGCACATACTAACATTTTTGTTGACACATCTACAATAAGGAAAACATTAACCTCCTTGGCGGTTTTCCCGAGTGTAGCTCGGGGTAGAATTTCTATACCAAGAGCGGTAACCCCGAGCTACACTTGGGCTTACCATGCAGCGTTCTCTGGGGGTCCCTGCAGCACTTACCTTGTCCTTCGCTCCCACGATGGGTCCCCTGCAGCGTCCCCGTCCATCTCCTCCGGCGGATGCCAGCATCTGGCTTCCGTGTTCCGGTCCCCGTGACGTCGGAACGTTCGGGCGGCGGAACCGGCGGGAAATTTGAAATTTTTAAAGAATGACATTTTTGCTGTTATTGCTTTTTCACTGCATTTCACATACATTTTGTCCCCACTGCTTTGTCCTGTGCCCTGCCTGCATTTTGACTGTTCTTTCTGCCTGGAAACTTAGAAAGGTCCATGGCGGCCAAAAAGCATCTCTTTACGTCAAAAGCGTTTTTAGAACAGCGATAGTAAATCAGAACCACTTGCAGAATTGAGTGATAATGATTTGTGGGGAAATTCGTCATCAGACACTGAAAACGATTTTGCGACTTTGCTCAGCGATGTGCGAATTTGCCTCTGTATTTCAAATTTCAGTGTTTTTTGGTTTGATTATATTATTGAATTAAATTTATTATTATTATATTATTATTTTTTTATGATTATTTATTAAATTATAATTTATGATTTCGTGTTTCAAGTTTTATCATATCCGGAATGTTTAATAGACTCTTTTTCGGATAGATTTCAGTGAGTTATTCCTAAAAATTACAGCCTACAATTAAAAACTACATATTTCCATGCAAAAAAATGGTACCGCTTTCAGCACAAAATTCCTGACATGATCATACCGCCAGGGAGGTTAAACAAGAATGGAGTACATGGGAGGACACCATGGAGGAAGCCATTGCTGTCCAAAAAGAATATTGCAGCACGTTTGAAGTTTGCAAAAGAGCACCTTAATGTTCCACAGCACTACTGGCAAAATATACTGTGGACAGATGAAACCAAGATTGAGTTGTTTGGGAAGAACACACAACACTATGTGTGGAGAAAAAAAAGGCACAGCACACCAACATCAAAACCTCATCTCCACTGTAAAACATGGCGGAGGGAGCATCATGGTTTGGGGCTGCTTTGCTGCCTCAGGGCCTGGACGGATTGTTGTCATTGATGGGAAAAATGAATTCCAGAGTTTATCAAGACATTTTGCAGGAAAACGTATGACCATCTGTCCACCAACTGAAGCTCCGCAGAGGATGGGTGATGGAACAGGACAATGACCCAAAGCATACAAGTAAAATTCAACAAAACAATGGCTGCAACAGCACAGAATACGCCTTCTGGAGTGGCCCAGTCAGAGTCCTGACCTCAACCCGATTGAAATGCTGTGGCATGACCTTAAGAGAGCGATTCACACTAGACATCCCAAGAATATTGTTACACTGAAACAGTTTTGTGAAGAGGAGTGGTCCAAAATTACTCCAGATCGTTGTGCAGGTCTGATCTGCAACTACAGGAAACGTTTGGTTGAGGTTATTGCTGCCAAAGGAGGGTCAACCAGTTATTAAGTCCAAAGGTTCACATACTTTTTCCTCCCTGCACTGTGAATGTTTTACATGTTATGTGCAATTAA